ATGTTACAAAAAAGCAAGCCTGAGGAGGAAATAAAAGCCGGGTCATTTTTAGTCCATCAAACACGACAGCCCCCGAGGCCAAGAAACAATCTCACTTCCTAACAACAAACCTGAAAGAGGAATGGAAAAGAATACCAGCATGACATACTTCATGTTTGGGAATGTTAAAAAGTCTAGGAGTTCGATTTCTGTTTGTTGGCAAATCCATTTGTGGGGGACCTACTGAATTTACAGGAGGGGAGAATTTACGTAGGGCAAGCAAGCAAGCAGCGCTCCCCTACACGCGTACGTGTGCCCTGTGGCAGGAGCACTCAATGGTGCGCTTTGTAGAAGCTCGAGTGCCAGCACAGCCCCGATGCAAATGCATGGCGGATGAATTATGGATGACGGTTATTTTAAACCAAAATCAAGTGCTTGTATGTGGTGCAGTGCTTTAGAGGATCTAGCCCTGGCAGAAGAGAGAAAGATAGGGAACTCATGCATTTAGAGCAGAAATCAAGCCTGAGGATGAATTCTCAAGATAATGTATAGGGGTAGAGGTAAACAAATAAATGCACCAGCCAGCCAGCCAGGTATTCCACCAGGCTAAAGCATTTGGTAGCGACAACAAGGGAACAAAAACAAAGAGAGAAAAGAAAATCTTTGATGGTGGCTCATAACTTTAGGGGGCACTTGTAAAGGCTGGGTGTGCGTGTCAATCCGTCGGGATAAGCTGTTAGTGTGTTTCCATAATGCTTTCAGAGTTCTGACTTGTCTCGATACCCTAAAGCATTTTCCAATCTAGACTTGAGTTTCTGTGCTGGGATGGTCCTCTTAGAGTGCTCCCAGAAATGTTTTCAATAACCCCTGATTGGTTTAAGGCTACACCTAACCATGAAAGCAGCGGCTAAGAAAGAGGTTGTAGACAGCGGGCTGGCTGGAGGGTACTGCATTCTCAATACTATTTTTCTGAAACTCAGGTATGGACTTGAAATATTTCCCTATCTCTATTGCCACTCAGGAGTGACTTTGAATATTTAAGAGCAACTTGAGAGTTTTGTTTTTCAAGTTATAAGAAGTTCTGTGTAGAGTCCAGACATGTTCTTACACCTCACCTTGGTAAACCAATAGCATTGACATTTCAAGAATTCACCTGATGTTCAACCTAATCACCATAATGGCCCACATTTTGTGATTCTGTTCAATAACTTCCCATTCACAGCCCTAGAAAGTATATTAGATGTAGGTGAATGAGCAGGAGAAGCACACTTTCTGCACAACTACATGTACATGTATGTTCACTTATATTGCATAATATTGTTATACATCGTGTGTCGGTGTGTTTGTGTGTGTGTTTTTGTTGAAATGTTAACACCTTTTCAACATGTTGAAAAAAGTTAACATCACTTTTTTTCCTGAGAAAATGATGAATTATGCATGTCCTCTTGTAAGTCCTGTATATGATCCTTTTATAATGTACATGTATCTTTATCATCTTTCTTTGTCTTTCTGTCACCATCCCTATCTCACTACCTTAAGTATCTCACCCTCTCTCTCTCTCTCTCTCTCTCTCTATCTCTCACTCTCTTTGTGCTCTCTCTTTATTTCCCCCCCCCCTCTCTGTCTGTCTGTCCCTATCCCTCTCTCTTTCTTTCTCTCACTCACTAATTCTCTCTTAATCTTCTCCCCCCCCCCCTTCCTCTCTCTCTCTCTCTCTCTGTTACATCTAAACTTTTTAGGTTACACATTTTCATTAGAAAGATACAACCGATAGATTCAACCAAACAGAAATGAAAAGCACGGCTCTATTCTCTCTCATTCATGTACTCATCAATCACCTTTCATACAAAATCAACTTCCTATTTATTAAAATTTTATAAATTTCTCATCAAAACTATGATAAATGTTTATGCTAGCTCCTGGTTGATCTCTTAATCAAATTAACCTTTGCAAAGCTTGTTCATATTTCATAATCTCAATGTGAATCATGCTTTGTCAGGAACAATTAGTTCTAAATCAGTTTCCAATCTAGGCCACATCTTTCCAATTTGCTTGCTCATTGTCTCCTGGTAATGGAGATTTTCCCTATACAGTGGTGGAGCAAAAAGTTTGGTTCATCACAAAAAAAAGTGATGTGCTTTTAGCCATTATGGGATCAATCCCTTTGTCTTTTAGGCTTCGTCACAACCTTGTCCTACTTCAAGCCTTCGTATGAGTACTCTACTATTCACAATGCAATCACTGCCTGGTAATGACAGGCTATACAATCTACACTCTACATTTACATAGTGTTTGTTCATTAATCTGAATCAGGGAATTAGACTACCAGTTAGTTAATGTTTTTGCTATTTCAAGATATTCCTCATATATTGTTCATAATTTTCTAAAATGAAGTTCATTACTTATGCCTCTATTGTTCATGTTTCGCTATAAATATCAGGGGGGTGTTTCACAAAGACTAAGATCGACTTTAAGTTTGACTTCATTATGGTAGGCCGTTCTTTCATGCTACTGTTTGCTCTTACCGTTTACTGTCATTGGTCTCTCAAGGGATGAACAAATCATGGTCACCCCTCTACAGAATTTACACTTTGAGATAATTCATTATTGAAGGAAAAAAATTATCTAAAGATCATAATAAACCACCTGTATATATTGTGTATAAGTCCACATCCCTTCTCTTATTTAAAATGCCCATGAAACATTCGCTGAAGACAATAATCATTCCTGCATGCATAGTTCTTCAGAGGTTTAAGCTTTTGTTCAATTCAGGTTTAACAAGGAAAGTTAATCTGAAATCTAAGTTTTCCTTCGTTAAAAGTGATCTAAGACCCAAGATTGGGTTTAAAGCAGAATTAATAGAATATGGACCTTGATCTTCAATATCCATGCATTTGGACATCACTTAATACTTTGCCAATACACAAGCTCTACAGTCTTTATTCCAAGAAATTGAATCTTACATTTAGACCAAAATACTTTGATTACACCATGATGTCACTGTCCTGTACCTCTCAGCTCATATCATGCATTTCATCTTCAAGCTGCTGATTCTAACACTCTCTTCAGAGAATCCACTCTCTTCCATCAAATAGAAAGTTTGTCCATATCTAAAGAGAGCCTACGGCCTCATTTATCAGTCACCCTCCATTGAAGATGAAGCAAAGCAAATCAAGAATAGTGTGTTCTTCCCTGCATCGCTACCCATCCAATCTAATTCATCATTCTCAATTAAATCTCTTTGTTTCAATGAAGCGTGCAAGCCACATTTGTTTATGACTTGAGGTCTTGTGCTAGCTATTAACAGCTCTGCAGTCAGATTGGCTTCTTGCTTTCTTCATGCCTGGGGTTGAGATTTAACGGGTGCACACTGCTTAGAAAACCTCTCGAGCTACAATACATGCATTACACTGACTAAATCAGATGTAATATGCCTTTATTAAGCTTTCTGGTTTACCATCCTCTATTGCCTACGGTACTATCATTTCAATCTAAAAAGGACTTTTTGAATGACTTGTTAATCCTATGAATTACCAATATATTCCTAAGTGCATACAAAGGCACTGCCAATTTAACAACAAAAGGTTTGTCCTGATGAAACAAGAAACAGGATTAAGTTTCTAAAAGCAAGGATGAGGAATGTTAAATTTTTCAGCATTCTAAATATTTACTTCCCATTACTGGCTCTTAGAAGACAATATGATAATAATATTAATATTTTGGGTTTATATAGCACTCAAGACATTGGCGTTGTATCTCATCACGTTGGAGAACGGGGAGCATTCCAGCCAGGGCTATTTATCAATTATCACACACTCACAATGCTTAGCAAACAAGAATGACTTTCACATCCTATAGGGTATGCATTTACACCTGGGTGGAGAGTGGCAAATGTGGATTAATATCTTGCCAAAGGAAATTAGTGCTGGGCTGAGATTCAAGCCCTCAACCCTTGGATTAAGAGTCACATGGACGAACCACTATACCACGACACCTCCACGAACATGCGACATGAAGGAAAGGAACCTGTTCTTACCACACTGAGGCAGAACCTCCACGAACATGCAACATGAAGGAAAGGAACCTGTTCTTACCACACTGAGGCAGAACCTCCACAAGCATGCCTCATGAAAGAAAGGAACCTGTTCTTACCACACTGAGGCAGAACCTCCACAAACATGCCACATGAAGGAAAGGAACCTGTTCTTACCACACTGAGGCAGAACCTCCACAAACATGCCACATGAAGGAAAGGAACCTGTTCTTACCACACTGAGGCAGAACCTCCACAAACATGCCACATGAAGGAAAGGAACCTGTTCTTACCACACTGAGGCAGAACCTCCACAAACATGCCACATGAAGGAAAGGAACCTGTTCTTACCACACTGAGGCAGAACCTCCACAAACATGCCACATGAAGGAAAGGAACCTGTTCTTACCACACTGAGGCAGAACCTCCACAAACATGCCTCATGAAGGAAAGGAACCTGTTCTTACCACACTGAGGCAGAACCTCCACAAACATGATACATGAAGGAAAGGAACCTGTTCTTACCACACTGAGGCAGAACCTCCACAAACATGCCTCATGAAGGAAAGGAACATGTTCTTACCACACTGAGGCAGAACCTCCACAAACATGCCTCATGAAGGAAAGGAACATGTACTTACCACACTGAGGCAAAACCTCCACAAACATGCCTCATGAAGGGAAGGAACCTGTTCTTACCACACTGAGGCAGAACCTCCACAAACATGCCTCATGAAGGAAAGGAACATGTTCTTACCACACTGAGGCAGAACCTCCACAAACATGCCTCATGAAAGAAAGGAACCTGTTTTACCACACTGAGGCAGAACCTCCACAAACATGCCTCATGAAGGAAAGGAACCTGTTCTTACCACACTGAGGCAGAACCTCCACAAACATGCCTCATGAAAGAAAGGAACCTGTTCTTACCACACTGAGGCAGAACCTCCACAAACATGCCACATGAAGGAAAGGAACCGGTTCTTACCACACTGAGGCAGAGTAGTTCTCTCTTGACAAAGTCCAACCTTCTCTTCTCCACGGCCGAGAGGTATGTTTGTAGTCGAGTGTAGGAGTAAGGGTAGCAGTAGGAGAACTGGTAGAGATCACTTCCTTTATCAAAGCAGAAAGCAAAGGACATCACATAGTTCTTCCTGTGGTCTGGACATCGGTAATAGTACACATTCTTGGATGGTATCCTCTGCCTGTTAATAGATCACAAAACAATGGAATAAAGTTCCTGAATTTATTGGAATTCATAACCAATTAAAAACAATGAAAGACGATGATATATACTTGCAACTTGAACATTCACTTACCATGAGTTTTTTTCTACACTACACTTAATAACACTTGTATTGAATAGAAGAGGTGCTTTGTAAGTCCATTAGAGTTGATGTCTGAGTTCAGGAAAATAGGCATCCTATTTATGGGTCCGTCCAGAAAGTTGGGGCACTTTTTGTAACATACCAGAAGTGAGAAACTATGTCTCCTATCGACTGTAACAATGTTTGCTCAAATTGAGTTTTGCATAAAAAGCATAGCCAACTATCTTCAGAAGTACTCAAGCTTCATGGTTAATCAATATCATGGACCTAAAGTTTATGTAATGATATATGAATATGGTGTCCATGTAACGCTAGTAAAAAGAGAAATGTGTATTAAGCAAAGATTTTGAAGAAAAGCAACTGAAACAGGAACAATTCTGGCAGGGGATTCCATATTCATTGCATAAAAATCTTCAACAGATAATTTCATCTTCCATGTGTAGTAAGGGATCTAATCATATCTACGTTACATGGACACCGTCAAATTTTTTGCCCCAACTTTATGGAATGACCCTCATCAGGTTTACATTATTTGAATTAGCCAAATAGTAATTGCTTTAATCTGATTACAGAACACAAACTGCCAAAGACTAAAATTCAATACTTCTACAGCATATTGTCAGCTTCCATAAAGAAAACAATCAAGCTAGAACACACATGGGCTGGTAGTAAATGCAAATCCATAAATTTATACAAAAAATATATACATCTAGATATTTGATAAAGACCAGTACACATTCAAATAATTTGACAGTTAAAGTATGTCTCATGGTCTCTAAATCTCTTGCTGTCGAAACTATTTGCTTTAAACAGACATTCTGATAAAGCAAACAAACAAACAGAAAATTATATTTTGAGAGTTATTGCCCATAATTTGAGCTATTAATGTTTGTATGAGTGTGATTCAGACTAGCCCTCCAATCAATCACAGCTAATAAGTCAATGTCAATCACACTTAGGCTGAAAGCTACTAATGGAATCAACGCATCGCCCATACCATCCTGGCATGTATAGAGGGCCTCCAATAACAAAAAATTCATTAATTCCTAATAAATGTGAAATCTTGCAGAGGAAAGTGGGAGCCAGGCCTCAATGAAGGGCCTTTGTCTGTTAGAGAACGCATCCTGCATTGATTGATAATGGCACTGGAGTGATTTGCCTCTAGCCCTCAATGAACCACTTCCCCTCGCTACCACAACCAAGGGATATAACTACCACTCCAGCCCTGCAAAATCTGTATACATGACAGTCGCTTCTACAGTGGATGGGTTCAGACTTGCAGTGAGGGACTGAGTGGAATGCATGGGAAACGATGCCATGTATGAACATGGTTAACACAGGGGTACTTATAAGCCTGAGATGAGGCTGGTTATAGTAGAATATAGAGTAGAAATATATAAAAGATGTATAATTGTCTTAGAACGAGAGGAGAGATGGGAAGGCACCATGGGGTTAATTATAAACACCTTTAAGTGCCTACGGTCAAGCAGTACAGCTGGGTTAACTTAAAACATAGTGACAAAGTGAGTTTTCAACAACAAATATAGTATTTGAGATACTGAAGTACAAATAAGAGACAGCTTTAGTCCTCTCTTTACTCACAATAATTATAGGTGGATGGGTAAGATGGTTGATTGGTTATATGGTTGAAAATTTAATCCTTCTCTGTCTTAATGTGCCCATTGCCATCTTCTGTATTACTCATCAACTTATAAATCTACAATTTGATATAGTATGTGATTTTGTAACGTCCCTCTCCCATCCAGCGGAGTTCATACAAACAAATATGTGTCTTCAGGATGACCAAGAGTATAGGGTGGGTTAGCATTGGCTTTTCAACTCCAAACCAAAGTTCATTCCTACAGTATGCATCCGTTATAACAACATTATACAAAATATACACATGTAATTAAAATTTACATTCCAAATATTACAATTCTTCCATTTTTGTCGTGTAGCACCTTAACTACTCCCCCCCCCCCCCCCCCCCCCCCCCCCCCTCTTGTTGCTCTAAAAATACTATTAGACTCTTTTGACATGGGGGTAAATAATTTACAATACTTTAAATTTGTATTTATTTTTCTAAGAATTTAAGGAAAAGCATCTCACAATTTGTTCTCTATACAAGTAATGTTCAACAACAAACAAGTAAATTTTGATTTCAATAAGAACATGTTGATGTTGAGGTTTGAGACTGATAAATTTATTTCCTATCATTACCAGAATTCAAGAATACCTTCAAAAGAGAATCTTTAATAACCAATGTCTGATGAGATGACAATATGAAGCCCCCTTGCTCTCCAGCTGAGAGATAGGGCAGCCATCTTGTCTGTGTTTCCTACTCACTTCATTTCAATTACAAGTATCCAGTCAACTCTCAAGCACCAAATCTCCTAATTGGTCTTCAAACCAAGTACCTAACATTCTAATTATTACCGTAATTGAATATTCTTTTCTATTTATCTGTCTTGATGTTGAGCACTTCTTGGTTTTGTGGAGGGGTGGACAAACAGACCATCTCCTTCAAGTCAGTAAGTGGCTATGTATTTACCATTCTTGACCATTCTATAAAAGTACCTCAGTTCAATTGAGGTTACAAAATAAGATAAAAGGCCGATACACAAAAAAGCACAATAACACAATACACAGGAGACACAAAAAAAAGAAAACTTTACAATATGTAACACAATGTATACAACATATTAGGTACATTTATTACAATACTTTTTCACTACTTAAGTCTTAAATACATGTACATTGATAATAGGTTTTCCTACAGCTTAATCAAGCATTACATTCCGTCTAGACAGTTGCGTTCTCAATACTCTGGCTTACTTGTTATTCCTAGGGTTAAAACAAGGTGGGGGAGCCAATATGTCATGCTGGGCCGTCTTTATGGAATAAGTCTCCTTAAATGGATTAAACATAGCAGTTCTGGTGAAGTGTTAAAAAATAATCTTAAGAAATATCTGTTTAGCCTATAATTGATAACCAGTACCTTCATGTCTGTACCTTTTCTGTTACACTTTTGTTATTATCATGTATTTCATCTTTTGCACAAGCTGCGCCTTGAGCATTTGATTGTCAAGTGGACTTGGGGCCATACAAATCTTATGTAATATTATTATTATTATTAATAATAATACAGAATAACCTACATGTATCAACGACATAAGTTCAAGATAATGCAATGACCTTTGACCTTACCATCTTGTTCTACTTGATGATTTAACCATCGGTGCCATGCCCTCTCTGTACAAGCTCTTCGTCTTGCTGAAGTTAACAATGTTGAATATCACACGCTGCAAAATAAAACAATTACAAGCAAATTTAAGACCATATTCAATAGCCCCAAATATTTTTCCTTCAAAAAATGAAACAGTCACAGGCAACTTTCAGACCATAAAAAAAATGGGCAATATGCTTTTTCTTCAAATCTCATGAAGTGTTTTCTGTGTATACCAGTACTCTTAAAAACTAGTAAGTTTCCATCAAGGTTCAATTTTCTTTACACAAAGCAAACATAAAACATAAAACATCATTGGGCTTTAAAAATGTGTAATCAATTTGCAATTTCAAACAGGCTTTTAAACTGGTTCATTGTATTTATGATTAAAATTCACTAGCTTTGCATGAAATAAACATACACCAGACATAAAGATTATTTTTATTATTACCCCCCCCCCCCCCAAAAAAAAAAAAAAAAAAAAAAAAAAACTAATAATAATAATAATAATAATAATAATAATAATAATAATAATAATACAAAATTTAAAAAATAACAATAATAATATGTTGTCAAATTCAGAATCTCATTACCGGTAACCTGTTCTCTCAGAAGTTTATCCAAGGAAAGTGTCTATTAAAATGTTTCACAGGAATTTTTTCTGGGTAAATTCCACTAGTGCTTGAAGTTGTTTGCACTTGTACACATGTACACATATGAGGCTTGCAGTTTCTTTTATGTTCATAAACACTGGAAGACAACCAGTATTACCTGAAGAAAAGTATCGTGGTATAAGAAACAACATCTGTCATTCACAAAATAATGATTGTTACACCCTACATCATGTCCACAAGAGGTCCTTAGGTACGGATAATACACTGGGTTAGGAAGGTGAACGGGTATTGAAACCCTGTGATATCTTACTGACCTGATCTGCCTTGGTATTCTCCACTGTGAAGTTAAACCAGACCCTAAACCTAGGATTACAGGTATCGGGTCTAACAAATAGATCGTATTCATGCTCTGTGATGTAGTCAACACGACCAAGGTTACCTGTGATGGAAACAGTACCAGTAAAATATATTCAGATTTATCTCTTTTCACTAAAAAATGAAGGTTATTAATGGGTCATGGTGTGTTTGAAATCATATTTTTATTTCTCCATGTCTATTAACAGGGCAGATCTTATATGATTTTAGTATAGATTGAAATGTGCGAAGCTTTTAATATCAATACATCACTCATACATGTACATGTACTTGCAAACAACCTAATTGAGAGGTGCTCATGCTCTATAGTGATCTTTATATTCATTCATTACCTATTACAATCTCTCACAAAATGATACTAAAAATACAATTAGCAGCCCATCATACTAGTAACAGCAGCAAAGGCATATGCGTGCATCTTGCTATTTCATCTTTGGTCTGATCCCCATGTGAAGTCATGCACTTACATTTGCAACATACGTCATTTATTTTAGGCATTCCATGTACCTCATTTACCTATTTTGTATTGAATGAGTTATAATTTATTTAGAAAAGTGCTGTAGGCTATTATGTTTTATATACATGTATCTAAATCTTTGGGTGTTTTATGGTACATTATATTATGCATTATGTCATGTTATTACTAAAGGAAACAAGAGTGTTTCTACTGGATATAATTTTCCTTCTGTTTTGCTATAAACACTGCATTGTAAATTGATTTATATGGTATATATGTTTACAGAATATTGATATGTTATATTACATTGTAAATTGACTTATATGATGTATATGACGTTCCCAAACAGAATATTGATTGTTACATTACATTGTAAAGGGATTATATATTTATAAACAGAATATTGATGTACATCAATGAAGTTTAATAAATACAATACAATACAATACATGTATGTACATCTCTATCAGAGTCTAATACGGCACAAGATAAAACACAGAAGTGCAAGTTATGGTACTGTTTCTTCCCAAAGAGTGAAATGCACAGCACACACAATACATTCAGATCATACAATGCTTATTAAGTAATATTCCTTTGTACAGGTACATATTTTCGTTCATTTAGTAATGGACGATCAGAATAACTATATAATCTGTATACGATTGCAAATCATATTGCATAAATGTGTTGTTGTTTTTTTCTCGTGTATAGTGTTGTAAAAATCATATGACCTGCCATGCATCCAAAATGGGACCATGCTCCTGGTATTTATGTATGACAATTTATTTTGAAATAAAGACTTGATGAAACAAACAATCAATGATGTTGTGAAGTTAAGCTAAAGGTGTAACATAATCCTCCCCCCTTCCAACCCATTCAAGGAATCTAGTACTCTATAGAGCACCCCCCCCCCCCATCCCCTCCCTTCAACCCATTCAATGAGTCTCTAGTACTCTATAGAGCCACCTCTCCCAACCCCCTCCCCCCCCCCCACCCATTCAATGAGTCTCTAGTACTCTATAGAGCCACCTCTCCCAACCCCCCCCCCCCCCACCCCCACCCATTCAATGAGTCTCTAGTACTCTATAGAGCCCCCTCCCCCACCCCTCCCCCTCCCAACCCAACCCATTCAATGAGTCTCTAGTACTCTATAGAGCTGACTAATCCACTATTCAGGGTCAAGATCATCATTCTAAGCCCTATCAAACTAAAGACCTAAAGCTCCCTGGTCTTTATATTCCATATCCAACAAAGAAATGGTGTGAAGTATTAGCTCAGTACTGTCAAAGGGCCCACAACAATGGATATAAAGTTCTCTGGTTATTTACTACTTGACATTATCTCTCTTTTGAACATTTCATTCAGGAAGTCTCTTTTTGTCTTCATTATCAAAAAGATCTGCCCATCACTCAAAGAAAAGAAACAGACCTGCAAATGCCAGTATGTCAGTACACAAAGTCCATAGACAAATGTATGTTTGTAAAGTCCAAACTATACCAACATTGTTATTGATATTTGGACATTAACTTGACAAATCACCATGCAGTTATTACCATTAACTCTCGCTTACGCCAATTGGCAAGATAGAGATTCTCTTTCGCTTTTCTTTTGAATCTATAGTTTATTTCCTCCTCTTTGCCATAAGAATGTTGGAAACATTACCAGTGGCTACAAAACAACAACAACAAAGAACACTTGAGACCATTACTAAAATATTCTTGGACATAGGAATAATTGCAGATGTCTAGAGTTATGCAAACCTTGAAGAAGGAATGGTTTGCAGCCATTCTGAATTGTTAATCATATATAATGGATGGCTTGGATATAACAATTGTAAACTTAGGAAAAATCATAGTAAAGGGCTAATGCAGATATAGATACAGGATTAAATGTTAGAATTCTATTGGTTAGCTCAACCATCTGCACGTCTATATTACTCTGCTGATGTGCTCAACTGAACATAGAGTCCTATCATAATTACATGTTTAAAATTGATGATTGAATACTACCTAAATCTCCTGAAAAAGAATGAAAACAAATTAAAAAACACTCACCACATTCAAAACATGCATCAAAGATGAGATGTCCAGGTTTAGGTTTGCCACTGTATCCAAGTGGGAGTACAGTGAACTTATTAAGATTGCCAACAACTGCATCATCAGCATCACTTTCAGAGCCTGTGTGTTAACAAAAATACAGATATTAATAGACATACCATGAATACCGATAATTCTGTCTGTATGAAACATTCACAGATTTTACAAACTGTTCTGATTCACAAAAGTGTCATTTTTGTATGTGTGTGTGGTACAATCTTAGAAAGATGTTCATAGTTAAATGGCAGTTCAAGTTTTCACAGGATTTTTAATCTAAATGCATTGACACTCCCTGCATATTTACACTAAAATAATCAATACTGTCATCAAAGTGGCAAAGGAAAATCGTGTTCTACAAAAACAGCTTCTTTCGTGTACACCGCTTGTAATTTCCAGCTGATTCAAAATCATGTAGAAAAACTTTTAAAAACGCCGCTGATTTTCCTCTGGCGTGTCTCTTTACGCATTACGATCTAATTTGTGTAAACGATTTTACATGAAGATTCAAAGTGGTTGATCGAAAAGTTTGACAGTGGACTCGCGTTTTGATATTTAATTTTCAACAACAAAAATTCTATCATCGGTAAGTTGAAAAGATTGTATTTCACTATTTATTTATAATTTAGGTGTCATCATGGCGCTAGTGTAGAGTAAAGGAGCCGGTTTTCGGCCACTTAGAACAAAATCCTATTTTTTGGACCCTTCACTTCCTATTTGTTATCATTTTTTGTTCAAATCATGAAGCAAATATTATTATTATTTAAACAAAACAAGAATCCCAGAAAAAAATCACGATTGCCACGACAATATTCATTTCAATTTTCACTGGTTCGGAGTCAGTTTTCGGCATAGTGTACCAGTTTTCGGCCGCATGTACAAAGTCAATAGGAAGCGCGCGCACGCGCCGTGCGTTTCCGCGCTGATCTATAGCACTAGGGGGCGGAGAAGATATCCCACACCGGAGCTCCCCGGAGCTCGCCAGGCCGAAAACTAGTACTGCGGTGATCGGATATTGGAATCTGAATTAGACAGAGATATCGTGTGTGCGTTGCGGTGTGCGGCTGCATTGATTTAATACATGCGATGAGATACTTTTTAGCTTGCGACTAGCACAAAATCGGGCTCTAAATCTGAAAAATACTTGAAATAAAGCTCATTTTATGGTACCCATATTTCTTACAGACACGCGTAAGATACTCGATTTTTCAGATTCGGGTAGCAGGACCGCCGATTACATCGCTAAAATGTGATATTTTAGGATATATTTTTCATTGCAAATGTGGTTCTTCAGTGACACTGGCATGGTATGGTGTGTGTGGGATATGTGTTATGCTATTATGCGATGTATTTTAGAGGGATTTTACCTTGCATCCAACCAATCGGCCGAAAACTGGAGCTGGCCGATTACCGGCTCCTTTACTCTACTTTGTGTATTTTTTTTAGCAGTTTCATATCCATTCTTAGCGAAGGAATTTTAGCCCAATTTTTTACTAATTTTAATCATAATCATATATCGCATTTTCCACCTGAATTTGGATCACATCTGACATCGGGAAGCCTCCGTTTAGGGCTTAGTTTGATGTCGACGTCGTCGCTCAGACAGTAGTCTACTCTAGACCTAGATCTACTCAGTCTCAGTTACAAATACAATACAGTATCGTGCATGCGTGTAAATAATCTACCATAATAAAGAAGTTTGCATAATTCTTTACTGATAGCTCCAGTTTGAGGTGCAGATCTATAGCGTAGAGGCGGTACTAATGCTACTATGTGTGCGCAAGGCTATGCAAACTTTCATTCAAATAAATAGATTATTCATCCAACCAAAATACAATACACAGATAAGAACACATGGGACTGCACATACAATTTCGGTCAACTTGTCCGGGTCACTAGCCTCGCTCCATGTAATCTGCAGACTTACTCACATTGTCACATTTTCTCATGAACAATAAATATTTTAAAACTTGACAACGTTATCTACGTAGGTACAATTTAGACTTTAAAACACACTTACCAGAATCGGCTCGCTTGTCTGCCATTTTTCGTCAGAGCTGAAAGTATCAGATGCGCATGCGCAGTAAACTGGTTGCTTGGCAAATGACGCTGCGAGTGATCCAAGACAGACCTCGCTTGCAATTTTATCATGGTCATCATCATCATCATAACCATTATTATCCTCATCAACATCATTACCATAGGCCCCGGAAGTGGGGTGGCAGGGGGGCACTTGTCCCCCCCCCCCCTCCGGCCCCAACCAAAAAGTGGGGGAAAACGCATTTTTGCCCCCAAAACGCCCCCCCCCCTTCCAAGAGAAAAAAAAACAGCAAAGGAGTAAAGATGGTTTGTATTTTTAGCCCAAAAGAACATAATAATAATTAAAAAAACTAAATCACATTCAAAATTCCATTCAAAGAAAATGAAAGATAACAGGAATTAAATTTACTAACATTCCGCATGTCGCCTATATTCATCAATGGAGGTTCTTTTAATAGCGATATCGTGGAAATATTGTGAGAGGATGGGAAAGCGTGTGTGTTTTTGTTATAGGGGTAAGAAGACATGAGCCCTCAAATGCTGGCGTACTGATGTGGGGGGGGGGGGGTTATTTCTTATTCGATACCAGTGATTTACAAATGTTGCTGAAATGAAATGATTTTCCGGGGTTTTTTTTCCTCAATTTTGTTGTTAAGCCATACCTTTTTATGCGTTTGTTGGAAAATTAGAAATTCCCAAATTTTCAGTCAGGCGAAAAATATGCTTATTTAGAAGCCTTCATATCAGGGCCTGCAGAACGGCTGGGCTCGGGGCTCGAGCCCCCCTCATTTTTTGAAAAAGTATGTTACAGAGAAAAAGAAAGAAAGAGAGAGAAAAAAATAAGTGACCTGCCAATGTCACAAATGTCGCATCCCTGGATGCCGTTAAATATCTAAAACCTCTGAGCTTCAGGGGGCTCTGCCCCCTGGACTCCCAGCCAATTAGTGACCTGCCTGCAGTGTCAAAAATAAGTTATATAAATATGCTTATCTGACCGTAATTTAATGCCTAAAAACCCTGAGCTTCCGGGGGTTCGGCCGCCTGATCCCCTGCCGGGGCTCAGGCCCTGGACCCCACGCCAATTTACGCTCTATATACCTGATCGTTAATACTCACTTTGAAAAACGTTCCGCGGGGTCTGCATGTAACGTGTAAGAGTGGTGGCGATGCAGATTTTTCTTCTGCTCCCCCTTCCAAACGTTTTTGCTCATTACGTCACTGCCCCTGGAAGGTGAGCGGGCCCCTGGAATGTTTCCCCCCCCCCCCCCAAAAAAAAAAAATAATAATAATAATAATAATAATAATAATGATAATAATAAATAAAATAAAATAAATAAATAAATAAATAAAAATAAATAAAAAATAAAAATAAAAAAATAAAAATTAAAAAAAATCCCAAACTGCTTCCGGCGCGCTTGATCATTACTATCATCATCATCTCCAATCAGTCAATCATTATCATCACGATCACGACATTTCTTTGATTTAAATAATTTTCCTTCCGTTCCAAGTCTTCCACTCCAAATCCCCATCACTCCTTCAGTTTTTAGTTGTTGTTTTTTCTAGGCCCAGGGCCCAATTCAACACCTTTTTTTTATTCTGCTCACCTATCAATTAACAAAATGCAGCCAATAATAATAAAGGGACTAATAAGAAGAAGAAGGAGAAGGAAAGTAAAAAGAAGATATAGAAGTAGATTTATAAGGAGAATATCGAGAAGGGGAAGGAGTAATGTATAATATAAACATAAGCTCATTTCTCTGTCATTGTATTTTTCATTATTGTGACCAACTTCATGAACGACCATAGACAGATAAGAGGAACTTAGTAACATATTTTCTCTTTGCTTTTCTTTTCTTTCCTGAAAGTGCATGCATTGGGATATATTTATGTAATGTTTTCTCTATACATGAATGTTTTGTTATTATTATTGTTACTATCATTGTTATGCTCATTATCTATCATCATCATCATCATCATCACCACCATCATCATTATTATTATTATTATTAGTAGTAGTAGTAGTAGTAGTATTAGTAGTAGTAGTAGTCTAGTAGTAGTAGTAGTAGTAGTATAATCATTCTGAATGTGGTACTGTCAGAAACCCAATCATTGTTCAATATTAAGGAGACAGCGGCTAAATCTGCTCATTTTTTTATATATTTTTTAAACACAAGTTTTTATTTGAATTATTTTCCCCAGACTGTTCATGATTGGATGCTTATATTCTCCTCTTTGCAACAATCATCATGATAGGCCACACGTGATGGTGGAAAGGATAGACCAGCATGTATTTAAATTTATGCATGTCTCTACAACACTAACTATATATGCGTAAAAAGGAAAAACGTTGCATTGCCCGTTGCGACCGACCCACAAATCTTAAAATCTACACCTATACGGTTGGCTTTTTTTTTTTTTTTTTTTTTTTAATGGGATACAAATTCATTAAAAATCACAAAATTATTCCAAACTTCTCACTCGTCTAAATAATTATGCCTTAGTTTCGAAATCCTGCTAGTAGACGAGTAGACCCCGGCCTCGTTTACGTGTACATGAACAGAATCCAGCGAAATTTGGTCGACGTTCCCGGTTTTGAGTTTTTTGGACGACGGTCGCTATTTTGAAGGGGGGGGGGGGGGGGGGGGGGGGGGTAATAAAATAAAAAATTCCGACCAACATCTTTTTTTTTTAGGCCCTAAATCAAAGACTGTGAATACAAACTTGTTGTCGGCTTGTGAGACATAGCAATATCTAATGTGTGCATCATGTATTGTGATCATTTCAATAACCCATTCAATGCTTCCTCATCTTTTTGGTGACAAAATTAATGATGGAAAATTTTCACAGCAAGTCATTTTTACAAGAGCAATAGATTTTGTAATACAATTAGAAGAATATGATTGTTTAATTAACTGGTCTGTCGGACAAAAATCCACGGAGTTTATCTTCTCTTTTAGATTGGCAAGAGTAGGACCGTTGCATAATAAAATAACATTCCTCTGTGAGTATGAAAAACGCATCATGGCGTGGACGGGGAGGAAGAATGGGGAAGAGCCGGGTGATGGGATCGATTAAGGGAGGGGGAGCTGGAAGGGAGAAGATACAGTGCAATGAGAGAAAAAATATCTATCTGTGAATTCTGATTTCGATTATAAGTTACCTGTAATAATAAATTTATCACTGTTCCTACATGAGCTATAAATCGTCTGCAACAACGAAAAACTGTTTCTATGGACGGAGTATATCAGCCAGGCTCAAGATTGACTGCCTTTAGTGCAATACACAACAATATATTATGACACTGTTTTTTTTTCTTCTTTTGATAGAAACAAAAACCTGCACTCTAATGTAGAAAACGAAGGGGATGGTTGCATGGCAAACCGGGTCGAGTTGCAAAGCTAAAGTGACAGTGTGCCACGTTCTTGAAACTTTCATGATCTACTCGTGAATTAAAGATAGTTGTGCTACTTAAAACCTCCAAAATATTCAGTGACCGCGGGGTTGTAGGCTTGTAGTGGCCGATTGTGAGAATATTGAGGCATTTTTGCAGCTCTAACCTGGTAAATGATTTCATTAGAAGACTTTATTTTACCTCTCCCTCCCGCCTTTCCTCCCAAGCTCCCCTCTCCTCTTCTATTTCCGCCCACACCCTTTCTCTCTCTCTTTCATCTCATCTCTCTTTCTCATATCTTTCTCTCTCCCCCTCTCTCTGTCCCTCTCTGGAGTCAGCTCTACAATGAGAATATGTAGTTGAACAGATTTGGGCGTTCGCTACTTGATTGCTACATACCGCATCTTCTGCGGCACAGATTGGGGCTTTTTTTAAATTTTTTTTTAAGAGGTCTTGATTTAACCCTTACCCTAACCATAGACGTAATAGAACCCTAACCCTAAATTTCCCATAGGCTCAACACGCACCTAACCTCAATTTGTGCCACATAAAAAAATAACGCCGCCGGGGAGTTAGTGGGGAAGGAGCCATTTCGAGTCAAGCGGGACATTTAGAAAGAATAAAAATTGGGGGCGAAAAGTTTGGGATGGGTCCTAGCTGACGCCTATCGGTGAAAAGGATGGTGGTGTGGTAGAAAAAAATGTAGGGGGTAGCTGCGCCTGTCGTCAGCGTTAGCCACAAAGCTATCATAATTCTCAAATACACCATATTATGTCCCTTTCGCCATATTTAAAACGATTGTGTAACTTATAGATGTTAGTTTCCTTGTCATATTCACTCCCTACAGTCTTACGCTATCCTATTAGTCTATTAACAACTTTTCAATTTAACATGCAAATAATGAAGGGGATGATTTACTTGTTATATATAAAAGGGCCTTTAACTTGCACGGGAGAATTAAAAGGGTCTTTCACATTCTAATCTACACTTCGCATGCATACCCTATTCAGCAGAATCAGCTGGTGCTCAACATAGGCTTCGGGGGGGGGGGGGGGGGTCTCTATTGAGTCGTTTTTTGTTTGTTTATAAGTTATATTTTGTATTCATTGACAGGGTACCAATTGATATCGGATATAATGGATGCTCTGTTTCAAATACAGTCAAGATTGCCGAGCCACGAATTTGGTACTGCTTCTAGCTGCGAGTGAATTGCCCATTGGTCTACAAACAGTTCGTCTATTACCCAATTAGATCTAGTCTTTTCCCGTATGGTCTACACCCATCACATCTACTATAAACATGGTCGAATAATCATTTAGGTTAACAGCCATTTGGTCTAATATCTATTTAGTCTAATCTCCAATTAGTTCAATAACCATTTAGTATAATCATATGATTATCATTATTTATGATTAAATGAGTATTAGACCCAAAAGGCCGTCTTTAAATATAGACCCTATGTGTATTTTTTTTTCTTCTATTTTTCTGTGCAGGGTGGTTGGATAAGCCTATATTGTTGTGGTTTGTAGTAATTTTGAGGTTCTCACTTTACAGATGTCCCTTTCCACAAATTCAGTGAAATAACCCCGGTAAATGCTGCAACTACACGTAGATCTACCCCGGGATCTACCATAGGGTCTAATTCATATATGAAATTCTGAAGAATGGT